CGGCGTACAACCATCCTCCTCATCCTCATGTCCCTTAGTCCTTGGACCGTTGGGGCGTCACAGATGACATGTGAACCATCCTCCTCCATTCCTCTCCGTCTTCAGCACTACCCACTGCATCGCCCAGTGTTAGTCCTGTCCACTCTTTGATGTTATCCTCCCATCTTTTTCTTTGTCTTCCTCTTCTTCTCCCTCCTCTTGTGGTCCCCTGCAATATTTCTTTGGCAAGCCCTTGTTTCCTTGTTACGTGGCCGTACCATTGTAGTTTGCGTTTTTTCACAGACACCAGTAGGTCATCGTACTCCCCAATTGCCTACGAACCCTTTCTTTCACTGTTTCATTGGAGATATGGTCCCTATAGCAGATGCCAAAAATGCTTCTGAAGCATCTCATCTCCATCACCTTTATTTTCCTTTCAAGATCGGCTGTTAATGTCCAGGATTCGCAGGCATACAGGAAAATGGAGAGGACTAATGACACTGATGAGCATGTTATAAAAATAATCCACCCCCCCTCCCCCACATGTGAACTATGTGCCAGCCTTCTAGCACGCCTAAATTAGGAAAAGTAAAGTACTGTATAAGTATAGGGCATAGGGTAAAAGTAAAGTAAAAGTTAAAAGTAAAGCAACAATATAAAAACATGTGCCGGCTGGTAAGGTAAAATTAAGGCCAAGGCTTATAAAATTAAAACTTCCTCTTCACCTGATGGAACTAAAGGCCTAAAATAGCGTCTTTTTGTTCATGTACAATATCCATTTAACAAAATTGAACAAGATAAAAAAAAAAAGGTAGCCTACAGTTCATGAACCTTTTGTCATTTACGACGGCATTGTGGGAAAAACAAGGAGAACTCTTCTGTCTTCAAAGATACGTTATAAAAGTTGCCCAATTGGATATATTTAGATTTAAATAATTTTTTAAACATTTTATAGATCTATCTACTTTGGTATTTATTTATTTAGGCATTTTTATATAGCGCTTACCTTAATGCTCTAAGCGCTTTACAATTATTAAAAACATGTAAACTAAGTAAAATAAAAATGAGACACTAGGAAACTAACTACTATACTATAGAAACAATTAAAATGGTTATAAAACGAGGACACTTTGGCACGTTTTGGCCTATACTAGCCCACTGTATCCATGCACAGCAACGTAAAGGTGCTACTCGGAAGGGACCTCAATATCAGGGGGCGCTTCTTTTCCTTTACACGGTTGTGCATCCATTTCGGACAGAATGGGGCTCGAATTTTGAGGGTGGAGGCATGGGCGCCCGCAGAAAACCTTCTAGGGGCGGGGGGGGGGGGAA